CCTCTCTCTCTCTCTCTCCCCCCCCCCCCCCCCTCCTCTCTTTCTTCCCTCTCTTTTTGATCGAATTTTACTTTCTCTGATTTGCTGTTGTTGCTGGTGCTGCAGCTGCATTATGTTCTCATGATAATGCGAGGAAGAAGGAAATGAGATTTTCATATTCGAATGACAGGGATGACAAAAAAAAGAAGAAAAAGGGAGAAGGACACGAGAAGGAAGAACGTTGTCCAAAAGATAAGGTAGAGTGACAGCTTTAGTTTTTTTTTTCTTTGGGAAATATAACTGAGCAATTTAAGAGATATATTTCTTGTAACTCCTCTCATTTATTTCTCATTTTGTTATTAAATCTTTTTGAAAAATGGATTTTTAAAAATTAGCAACTTAAATCTAATTCAGAGTTTTCTTTCTTCTTTGCAATTTATCAAATTTTGTGCATTTTTCTAATATTTCAAATTGAATTTCAAAATTTCAATACAGACACTAATGTATGTGAAGAACTGATATAGCCTCTATTTTGGGATTTTTGGGAATTCTGAGCTTTTGAGAATTCTTGTTTCATTGTCTTTTTAGAATGCAAATTGCTGATTGGATTTGGCATCAAATATTGTTTGCTATAGTGCTTATTATGGAAGGACAATTGAATTCTGTAGTGATTGGTCATAATGATAGTGATAAGAATCGATTATCATCAGATGCTGAGAAGTGTACTGCATTTATTGAAAATTCAATCAGTAAATGTCTCCAGGCATGTTTTCCCTTTTTTTTTCATTTTTAAGTTTCTTTTTTAAACGCTGTGTTTTTGGCAGCATGTGCTCTGTTTGCATCACCACTCAACATTTTTCCAATGTTGAGTTTCATAATTGAAGTAGCTTCAGCTAAAAAATAGATTAGCTATCGGAAAATAAAATCTATCTCATTTCAGTTCCAAACTCGGGAATAAAAAAAATCAGTTTCACTTGCTTTTTCATAATAATTAATTTTTCTCCTAATGTTATTTTCTCTTTAGTGCTATTTTTTAGAAATTGATTGAAGGAAAGACAGATGAATCTAGCAAACACACTTAGGAATCATTTCAGATAGCAAAATAAATTGAACATCATATCAATAAAATACATAATTGATAAGTGACTATGGGAGAACTTTTCAGAGTCTAATACTTGGTACTTATCTTGATGTAAGCATCTTTTTGTGTGACAGTAAGAGGAATGTTATAAAATTGTTGGAAATGTATTTTGTATTACTATAATAGTACCAATTGTGTATCTTACTTATTTTATAGCTGATTTTTCAGCCAATTCTGGATTATGCTGGGAAAATGCAAGATACAGATACAATACAACTGCCTGTACAAGGAGTCGATATTCTCAGAGAACTCTGTGATGTTTATGCTCACTTCAAGGTTTCCAACTTTTACACTTATTCAAGCTTTCTCTTATCAGGACTTATTAAATTTCATGGCATCTTAGTTTTTACTTTTGTATTATTCTGTTATAAATTTTAAATAATTCGTTCTAATATAGATTTTTAATGATTCATTCTAGTGTAGGTTTTAAAATTCGGTTTTCTTTTTTTTTCTGTTTTTTTTTTTTTTGTTTTATCACTGGCTTTTCTGAAAAGTTTATATATGAGCTTTTATTTACAAATGAAACTCTTATAACTGGTTTAATTCATAGTATTTGTTCACATCTAGTTAAAGAATTTTTGCATCTGAATTAAATTAGCCATTACTTTGCAAGAAAGGACAAAATAACGCAAATTTGAGATGAATTTATTCAAATTGACAGAATTTCAAATTTTCTTTGCAAGTATCTTTTAATTTTGCAATTTTTAATCCACCTTGATCTTTCATTCTGTTATAGTTCTAGAATTTTGTGAAAAAGATTTTAAGCACTAGGAAAACAGTAAATCTGCTATTATAGGTTAAGAAATTAGCACTAACATTATAAAGCTGTTATTTTCTTCAAGAACTAACATTCTAATAACTCATGCAAATTCGTTAAATTATTCAGAAACTCTGTAAATATTACAGGAATGCACTCAAGATATTTCTTGTTCAAGTATATCATTGAAAGCGGTTGATGCCAGTTACGGGTACATGTGTGGTGAAGGATATAAATTGTTTGAAGATTATGCTACGTGTTTTGCTGAGGTAGGTCAATTGTTTTTAAACAATGTTTTTAAAGTAAACGATAACTTGAAACATTAAAAATATTTGGTTTTCCTTAATATTATTTTCATTTTTTTTCATTCTGTTCATTCAAATCCACTTTTTTAACTATCATTCCATTCAATTTTCCTTTTTAATTATCATTCCATTTCAATACTTCTAAGTTTCATCGAAAGATTGTGGATTTCTCACAGTTCGAAATGTTAATAAGTTGGGATTTAAATTATGTTAATTTAAAGTTCATGATGTCCCATATCTCTATTATACAAAATTTGTATATAGGTTGAAACAGAAAGTAATTACGTGGAATGCAGGAATAAGGCAAGTACGGCGATAACAACAGCACAAAAGACAAAAATCCCAAATCATTACAACCTGTATTTCGAAGTTAGTCGATTGGATTTTATTTTTTTTTTTTACACTTAAAAAAGCATAATTTGTGTGTGAAAATATTTTAATCTTCTGTTATAGCTTTTATGTGGAATTATGGATCATTATTTACGATGTTGTCATCCTGTAATCAATACACGTTGCGGACAACAAGCTTGGGAATTAGTGCGAACGGTAAGCTTACGCAGTATCTCCTCAAGATTTTTAGGCTAAAAATATCAATTTTGATGTTAGATTTCCAATAATACCTGCCCAAACTGCTTTTTTTTGTCGATGCAAATTTACTCTGCACCATATAATTGTGTTATTTCTCAACATGAGTTATAAGGGTTACTTATTACAAGAACTACTAGTAGTAATTACCGGTAGTTCTTCTTTAATAATCTAAAGGCTTGCTTTAACTTCTAAACATTCAGGAAAATGAAATTCATTTTCCTTTGTATTATTATTGAACCGACGATGAATTTTTAAGTTTTATATTTCCCTCGATTATTACGAAAGTTTTCTTTTTTTTTGGCATAAACTACTCTTTTCATTTTAGTTGTATTTCCATCTATAAAAGAATATTGGCTTGATTTGGCTGTTGTCTTGAGAATTTTATTCATTTGTTCACTTAATACTCTTATATTTACAGGTTACTTTGGACAGTTTACGTGTAACAATGCCAACATGTGATTTACATAACGCACTGTTGTAATTTGTTTAGATCCACGCATGAAAGAAGAAACAGTAAAAGTTTTATGAAATGGATGATCGATGTTAAGATAGTACCCACTCCATCATAGTTGCATTTTAACTATCCCATTCAGCATATTTTTTCTCATTTATTTTAGGAAAATTTTCCCTTTCGTTGTAGTTGGAAATAACATTTTTTTAGGTGTACCAATCAAGAACTGGTTTGCCATGCTGTAATTATGAGAAAAGAAAATTTGTTTCCAGAATGTTCTGGAAAAAGTTTTTTGAATGATGTTCAAATCTTTTTGTTGCACATTTCTTGGAAGAGTTGCTTTTAGTGCATTCTCAATGCTTCGTTTCAAAAATCCGTATACGAGGACATATACCAGCAAGTTGGCTGAAAAGTTTTGCTTCAATTAAGAAATTCCGATGATAAGAAGTATTTCAATATGATTTTCCTATTTATTTCAAAAATGACACCTACTTTTCCGTTTAATATTTCAACTAAATGCAGGATTTTTGAGAGTATGGGAATAAGATGCTCAATTTGTACCATCTTAATTTATTTTTCATCAAACAGCAATTTTGACAATATCGTTGATAGATGCAACAAATTTTATTGAGTTAACCATTTTAAAAATCTCACTAATTCATAGTCTTACTTTAGCATTTCAGTATTTCTCAACTTTATTGAAAATTTAAGTGGACCAAAATAATTCTGAAGTTTTCATTAAGCAGTTTCCGCTTTAAAAATTTACGGAATATAATATACCATTTATATCTTCAACTCTCGAAATTAATGGAAAACAAAAGTTTCGAATTTCCAGGCATATTCAAAGAATGATGTTAAAAATTAACGTTATGTTCCAAACATTATCTTTAAACGAAAACTAGTCAGAGATCGATAATTCGAATTATCCATCCATTTCAGGTTTCTGTCGAAAGGTGTAGTTATCTACTCACCAATACTTTTCAATTATCTTATCATAGCTTTATTCATCTTTGTCATCTAAATATTTTGAAAAACTAACCGGATACCGGCTTTCTCGATGCAAAAACAGAGCTCTTGTACAGCTGAAGTTTGGATGCCACTACGAACTCCACAAGTCTTCACTGTTTGAATCACAACATTATCAGATGGTAAATTAAGACCACAACTGAAAGTAAATATTGTTAAATATTGAAAAATTGATATTTTAATGTGGTAATTTAATGCCATATAGTTGTTTTCGAAAAAAGGTAACCAAGATTTGAATATCTTGATTGCTCAAGCATAGAATAAGGATTTGTTACGAACTAATAAACTGTATGAAATTATTTTTTCTCAAAAAAAAAACATCGAAAAAAGATCGGTTCCTATATTTATGTATGTAAACTGTACCCAGTAGCACATTTTCCAAGTTTCTTTTTCATGCATGATTGGGAGCATTTGAAAAACCGTCGACCTTGAGCAAATACTGTAGTAAGCTGATCTGATATTCCTAAAAAAAAAAAAGAAAAAATCACTAATTGATTTCTTCTTTTAGATTGAAATAATGATTGGATATTTTACGACAAAGATCCTTACAGAATGTGACAATCTTTTTCATAAAACCCAGCAATTCATCTATTCTCCAAAAAAAGTCTCACTAATTTTGATACTTTAGCATTGTTTAATTATGTAAATGACAAATTTCACACTCTAATCTCAAACTTTCATCTAACATCATCCATCATTTCAACTCCATAATTAGAGATATTTCATTAAAAAGCGAAACAAAATTCAAGTTATCTAAGTTTAAAGTTAATAAAATGAATCATCATTACCCATTTTTTGTAGTTCTTTGTTGATCGCATTTACTGCAGCAATTTCAATACCTTTTGCATATCGTCGTGGTATCATTTTTGGTGTTCCTCGTGTGCATCTGAATATATAACATGTACATATATACATTCATGCACAGAGTACAGGATAATTGGTTTGAATAGAAGTTAAAAAGTTGATGAAAAGATACGTCAATTGCGCCTTACTATTCCTGCTAAATCAATAACATACTCCTTCCGAATCTTTCTACATATTCATAAACTCTTGTCAACTTCTGCTAATACTATTACTACTATTGCATCAATTAATGTAAGATTGGCGCTATTGGCATTCATCATTGTTATAAATGGACAAATGTGTAGAAAGTTTCTGATTAAAAAGAAACTAACGCATCAGGGAAGGAATCTCGGGAGCATTTCATGGCTTTATCAATAATTGGTTTTTTTTTCATGAAACAATTACGAATTTGTTGATAATTGCCACCAATGGTAGTGATAAATTTCTGAAAAAAAAATGAAATTTTGTCTATAAAAATAAGAAGCATGAAGAAATAAAATGTATTAGCATGCAAATGATTAAGACTCTAAATTAAAATAATTAATTATGCATGATTTTAACTAAATGATTGCATCCTAATTTCAGGCATGTTTTCATACGCAGCAAGATAATTAATAATAGAAGAAGAAAAAATAATTGATACTAATTGAGAAGATTTAATTTTTTTTAGTAATTTTTATAGTTTTTTATGAGTTAATGTGTGATAAAAGATTTAAAAATAAGCTTAATATTTGTCCAATAATTGAATAAATTAAATGAAATGAATAGAGATAATTTCAATGAAAAGTTGCATGTAAAAATAAAAAAATAATTAGGAATGAAGAAATAATTAGATAAAATTACCTGACAATTATCAGCACATGGTACAAATGCTTCTTCAGCAGCTTTAATACATGGTGCTACTTCATCACATTTACATTGTCGTACCATTTGTTCTCCAACAATCATTTCTAGCCATATTGCATTTATCAGTAGTATACCAAAATATATCATCATCTTCACTGATTTGATAATTTATCTTAAATTTCATTTAAATGAAAAAAATGCATCAATTGTTTGAATTAAATGATAAGAAATTATTACATTTTAAAACAATACCTTACTATTAATACATTACCTTAATAATATTATACTTTAAAGAAATACCTTAATATTATTATATTATCTTAATAATGTCACATTTTAAAACAACACCTCAATACTAATGCATTACACATTACCTTAATAATATTATACTTAAAAACATTATCTTAATATTAATTTATGACTTGAAAATACTCAATGTGATTTTTTTTTCCTTTTTTAAACTTTTTGACATTCACCTTAAAACAAAAATTATTGTCATTTTAATGATTTTTTTTCAATTATTATACTTAATATTTTAAAAAAAATTTTTTTCAAAAATGCCGTAATTAAAATTTCCATTTATAATCGCACGGAAAAAATATCAAAACTTAATTCGTCTAATTTAATTCAATTTCGTATTTCAAAATTGAAGATGTTGGTGACCTTTTCATGAAAAAATTAAATCGAAAAATAAAAAAAAAGTTTTGTGGATGTTACGAAAAGGTGAAATAGGGTTGAGGTTAAGGTTGACAAAAATTTTCAAGCAAATATTAGCGCAAAATATGTCGTCTTTTGTATTTAAAGTGACATTGGAATGACTATAAGTCAAGCCCTTTATAATGACTCGTTTTTCTACATTCAAAAAAAAAAAATGAAAGGTGAAGAGCTAGTTTTCTTAGTAATTCATTCATTTTCGATGACAAAAAAAAAGTGACGGAAATCATATAAAAGAGAAAAAGGTAAAAGGTAATATAAGTAGTATACAAATGATATACCCGGGGAAAAAAGTGGAAGGTGCACCGGGAAAAAAATGAATGGTCGTTTCTCTTGAATATTTTTTCATGGAAATAACTGAGGAAAAGGACACATAGGATAAAACCGGAAAATTTTATTTTTAGCAAAAAAAAAGAAAAACTCGTCACTATCATTGTTAATTGATTATGTAATTTTCATTAAATTGCAATCATAAAAAGCAGTATATGTCAAAAATTGCTCAAAACTTTTTCCGATATTACTTTTATGACAAATTTTTTGTTAATATTTTTTCATGAAACTCTTCGAGAAAAATTCTAAAATAATTTTGATAAATTTTGACGAAAACAGATAATTCAAAGATTTGAAAATTCACAAAATTAAATTTAAGGATTTTCTTTTTGATCATACATCAGAAATGTTCAATTTCAAAAATGCCAAAAATAATGGGCGTAATATTTTAATAAAAAAGTTTATATTTTAGTAATTTGTTTTTTTTGCCGCCAATATTTTAAACCATTTTAAATTTTGAATCATTACTGTAAAATGTTTTTTTTTTACTGTAATAACTGCGTCACTTTAAACCAAAAAAAGGAAAAAGATCTAAAAATGATCTTAAAAAAATCTAAAAGATCTAAAAAAAATGACCATGTAATATTTTATATTTTTGTCAATACATTGTTTTTTCTTATCTTTTTTTTGTTTTTTTGTTTTTTGCATATTTTTGTCAACATTGATATGAGAAAGGAAAAGACGACTATTTTTAGGAATTTTTCATTCAATTATTAAAACGATATTAATGCGCAGAAACAATGAAACCATAAATATATCGTTAGATTTAAATATTTTTCGAAATGACAGTAATTTAAAGGAAACATGATGATGGTTGAAGCATTTACCCCTAAAAGCAAAACAAACTTATCTTAAACTTGGTCCAAGTTTGCTATTGCATTGCTTTTTGTGTATTTTCATAATTACTGCAAAGTTAATTAGGAGGAATATTTGTCACACAATTAATAAAGTTAATTAGGACGGATTACCTGTTACACAATTAATTAAACGGATATCTGTCATACATTTGATTGGATGGTATCCGTCACATAATCCATATCAATTCTAAATTAAATTGTGCGCAAATAATCGATCTTCTCTCTTTCAACTTGTTTCGTTCTTAATTTAAGCGCTACTATAATCTTCTTTTTTTGCATAAATTTTCCTATTAGGAACATTTTGTAATAATTAATTCAGTAACTGATCATTTTCATAAATTATTATTTAATTAATTATCCACAAAATTTCGATGTCATTTTTAAAATATGGGGAAGGTAAAAAAGCAAATTAAGTATTTTTATCAATTTCTTTTGCTCTTCTCCCTTTTTTTAATTTTTTGTCAAATGAAAAAGTGACTGACATTGGCGAAATAAATATACAAAAAGTAGTGAATGTAGATTTTAAATTCGAATAATTTTTTCATTTCAATCATATTTTATTCCACCTGTTTGTTGCTTTACTGATAAAATTTCTTTTTCTTTTAATTATTTCATAACTTTTATCAAACAATCAACCTGATTATATTATGTGACACAATTTTAACACTATTCTGCAGAAGAGAGCAAAAAATAATTAGCCAATTTTGTAGAAGAGCCAAAAGAGCCAGTTTTTAGTTACGCCAATCCATCCCGTCGAATAAATTAGCAAACATTTTGATGGGAAACTTTTTGGAAGATATTTAATAATTTGCCGAAATCATGAAATAATTTTATTTCAAAAATCATGCATTTTACTATTTCCTTTGCTTTTTTTCTTCTTTTTTGTTAAACTTACTCATTGAGATATTTATAGCTTTATTGAAATTTTATTGCGAAATTTTGAATTTTTCGCTTTTTTTAAACAGGAATTTTTTTTTTCAAATTACAAATGACATGGTCACTTGTATTTCATAAGTTCATTTCAAAATTAATTAGAGACAAGAAACGAGTTTTTAATCAAAGATCAAAGAGCTAGTGATTTATAGAAGTTGAAATTTTGTGAAATATTTTCAAAGGTAGAAATAAATGATAGCTTAAATTCGCTTAACGTAACAACAAAAAGGAAAAGAATAATTTGAAAATTTGATATTTTTTTGTATTTGTAAATTCAAATTTGTAAATTATAGTATGAAATTGGAACCTTTCAAGGAAGTCCTCAAACGTCAAATACCAATTGATATTGATAAACCGATATCAATGATAGTGTATCACTTGGATCATCCTAAAAATTGTGGTGATCCTTGGATTGGTGCATATTCAAAGCATGGCTTTTGGTATAAATTTTTTCATGGTACCAATGATGACTATGAAAAGGTAAAGTATTTTAATTTAAAAATCTAAATATAATTTAATCTCTTTGCATGAGAATTTAATCGAATCAATAATATCATAATATAGCATTAATCAAAATCATTATCAACATATAAAATTTTAAAAGAAATCTTTGTTTAATTACATTTTATTTTATCGTTCTTTTTCTTTTTATTGCAGGTAGTTGCTCGAGCATATGAAAGTGATTCATATAAGATGGATTATGATTCATTAAAGGTGTTGAAAGCTATACCTACCTGTTGCTATCAATTTATTGTCGCCAAAAATCAAAGTAATTCACTTATTAAACTTTTTTTTCGTCAATCTAATGCGAAATAATTACTTCAGTAAAATTCGTCTTTCATTTTATCGTTTTTTTTTTTTTTTATATTCATTGATCAATGATTTTTTGTAATGCATGAATTGCTTTTCAATTAATTTTTAATTCATTGAAAATTTCAGACAAACTTTTGATAATTATGATATAAGAATGATTTGATTAGCTCGTTTTTTTCTTTTTTTTTTGTCTTTCTCCAATATCTCCGAGATTTCTCAAAATCAAAATGAATGGAAAAATTATAATAAAGTATTTCAGAAAGGAAAAGGACACACGAATTTGTGATAAATTAATAAAAGAAGCGAAAAAATGAAAATTTATATACGTATGATAAGTGAAAAAAGCAAATTTATGAGATATTTTAATGAATTAACTGAAAATATTATTGGGATGTTTTTTTGAAAATGAAATGTTGCTGATATTTGAAAAATAAATTCATTTAATTAAATTATTTTAACTATTCCTAAACAGGATAATACACTACCCTTTCATGTACTTCATCATTTTCCGTTTTTTTTTTCTTTTTTTACAGGTGATGAACTTCTTGGCAGTATAATGATTGCATATTGCAATAATTTTGCAGTTATCGGTGTTTACTATGTAACTGAAGAGTATCGTCATTCAGGTATAGGAAGTAAACTTTTTAACGAAGCATTAAAGAATGTCAATCGTCATCAAACAGTCATATTTCATTCTAGTAATTTTCATTTTTTTTTTTTTAAACGACATAAACAATATTCATCGTAGGGTAGATGAAAAAAAAATTGGAAAAGTTGAAATATAAAAATGAAATAGAAAGTTTGCAAATATGGTATAAATGTTAAATTTTATTTACATGAAATAATTTCATAAATTATAGAAAGTAAAATAAATTAAAAAAGGCCAAATAAAACATTTAGTATTTTTCATTTAATTACTTATATCATTTAATTATTTGTACAATAAATTAAGAAAATGATGTCATCGAAGAAATTCGTAGTACTACTACTAATAATAATAATAATAAATATTCATCGAATCTGCATTTTACATTTCAGTGTATTATTTATTTGCACCCTATATTTAGCATTTCTTTTTGATGAACTTATTAGCACTATTAATTAGTTCTAAATGAAAATCCATTTTGAATTTCAAAACATTGAAATACTTGCCATCATTGGAAATTCATTAATACGACAGGAAGTTTCTATCCGAAAAATAAATTAAGTTATAATATAAGTCGAAATAAGTTTAGGTTCAAACAAATCGAGTCAAAAATAGTGATTTTCGTTTGATTAACCGAATTTTAGACTTACTGAGAATTGAAACGTTCTTTCGTTTTTTTTCCTTTTTTTATTTAATGATTTATCAAACATTCATACTCCTCTTATTCAGTGTCACATTTGGCCAATAAATGTCATCGCTTTGGTTTTATGACATCACTCTTACAACAGTGGAAATTTGCAACATATGAGATCAACAATCCATCAGCGTTTCCTGCACTTCAAGTTTTTCATCATTACTCGAATACATTCACTTAGCTATTTCTATTAATGATAATAAATTTCTATCACTTTTTTTCAGGATAAAAAGATTACAATTATGAAATACAGTAATCTTTCGGAAGCTGAAATCACAGCATTGTTGAAATATGACATGAATGTGACAGGTTTGAATCGAAATGTCTGGTTAAAGGAATGGCTTAAACGAGAAAATTTCAATACTTATGTTGCCTTTGAAGAGGTATTCTTTATTTTTAATTATTTCATTTAGGAATTATTTCAATTCCAAATTTTTTTATACCTCTTTCTTTTTCTTGTCAAATTTTTGGAAATTTTTTTTTATAGATAAGTTTTATGATTCATTGAAATTAATTTTTTTTTTTTCAGAAAAATGTGATCGGATATGGATGTTCAAGAGAGATAGCTGGTGGTTATGTATTACCATTACTTGTTGGACCGCTATTTGCTGATAATTTTGAAGTTGCTAGTGCTCTAATTTATGCTTCACTGAAGAAATACTATGTAAATTGTTGAATTCTTTTTTTTTTCGGAAGCTTAAAAATACTTCAACAATGTTAACTTCTATTTTTTCTTTTTTTGAACAAATAAAAGATAGATATAGCAGTAATTGTTCATTATATTTGGTAATATTTTCGTGAAAAGAACAAAAAAAAAAAGAAATATTTGAAATTTTAATTTATCTTACAATCAATAATTATAAAAGTAATAATAAATGAAAATTTTGGAGTTATGATTTTTTTTTTTTGGAAAGGATATTTTTTAGAATCCGGATGATGATTATGATTGGGATCCGGATATTTTTGCAATATATAGAAGGAATGTGTATTTCATTGTACCAGAACAAAATATTCAAATGATAGCATTAATGGAGAAACTAAAAGGAGAAAAAGGAACATTTCAAAAAGATCAACTCTCCTATATTGTAAGTATTTGTCATTTTCGATAAATTATCACATTAAAAGATGATAAAAATCGTGGAAAAAGGAATTTCAAAAAATCAACAATAAAATAATTCATTACTTATGAGTGCCAAAGTAATTTGTTATTTATAAGGCTAAAATAATTTATTATTTATGAGTACCAAAGTTTTCCAGTATTTATGAGGCCAAAGTAATCGATTATTTATGAGACGAAATTTTTTGATAAGAGATGTAAAAATCAGAAATGTTTAGAAAGAGTAGAAAAGTAGTAGTTTGAAATGGTTTTCCCATTTTAAAAACACAACATTGATTAATTTTGCTTATTTCACCATATACCTTCCCATTACACAACAAAAAACGCTCATTCGAAAACAAAGTAGTAGTAATATGAATTGTACTGTACTTTGAACAAAAGGCAAACAACGATTATCATATTTCGTTAACTGAATCTCTCGTAGAGAGTATCGATAATCGTTACCATTTGACCTGAAAATTTAACCCTTTGACCTTTTGACAAGATACTGCAATATGTAGTAAATTTCCAGGTCTTTCTTAGTTATCATCTCTGTTAAAATGCAATTTAACTTATCAGTTTTCAGCCTTCTCATTCCTCTCTTCTTGATAATCATGTTGACCTTTAACTGTTCCCAACTATTACAATTACTACATGCTTCTTTTCTTTTTTTTTCTTGGTTATATCGGCAGCAACTTCTCGATGAAAAAAAATCACTTCTTTCATTCCTTTCTCTCTCTCTCTCTCGAATTCATAAAATTTTCTTTTTCAACGGGCAGAAAAAAAAATTATTGAAACCCAAAAAAGATTATTATTGCGTCATCAACTACCTGCTTGGTATTTTCAACAGTAATTCCGGAAAAAGAAAATTTAACGTAAGTAAATGTGACACGTGTGTAACACGTACACGTGTACCTCACGGTGCTTCAAAACGTTTACCTTCAAAATCACGTGAGAATTATTAAGTGGTATAACTAACTATTCAGTTCTCAACCTTTTTATTGAGAGAGAGGGAGAAGTGAAGAAAGTTTACAAGGTAATCAAAAACTGACCTACCCCTAATGTTCTGTTTCGATCATACACATATGTGAAACTTCCCTTCAATTTGTTCCAGAAAAACATTCCCTCACTGAAAAAAAAATTTCCGTCACGTTCACTGCTCGTAAATATGACGGAAACAAACGGAAACACGAGAACACAACTTAGATAACACTTCCAGGGTCAGTGTTTAATTGGAATTCAAGAATTGATATTTTAAATTGATTAACTTTCAGACACAAACCATGGATAACTTCCCAAAAGTTGACTTCAACAAAATTTTCGCTGTCTCCGATATGCATCTATCCGTCATATAACACAAGAACAGATTAATCGAAATTAGATGTATTTTTTTTGGAATTGTTAATTTTAAATGAAACTTCATTTTCATTTCATATCAGTCATCACGCATTACCAATGAAAAATATGCATAAAATGACGAGTTTGAACACTACACATAAATTTCCTTCACCAATCTATAAGATTAAAGCATTTTTCTTGATCAAAGTAGAAAAAATTTGCATTCGAAGTTTTCACTGATATTGTGATTGAATTACATGTGGAAGGATAAATGATAAATTTAAACTATAAAGCATTGAAATTATGCATATATTATCTCACTAAGACAAATTATGAATCCAACTCATCAATAATTATTTTTCAGAACATTTTGATTTTAGGTTTTTGTAAATTTGAAGAAGTTTTAATCCCGCGATGCTTTTGTTTTATTTGGAGTAATGAATCAGACCTGAATATTTATAACAAAAAGCAAACGATGTGCAATATGACCGGAAATAAAATTAAAAAAAAAACAAACCATAAAGAAGTGTCATAACTAAAAAATAAACCAACAAAATTGAAAAATCAAACGTAAACTGCACCGCAAGTTTTATAATTTCAAAAATTAGCAACCCCAAAAATCACAAATAATTGATGAATGCATCTGAGCATTTTTTTCAACCGCCACTAAATTGAATCCGATAAGTGAGAAACCGATCATCATAGGATCTCTTACTAAATATGTGTCTTAAAAGCCTAGGCAATCAGAGATAACAAATAATGAGCATATAACAAGATAAAGGTTAAATAAAGATGAAATAAACAACTGTTAGACCAAATAGTAGATCATGTAAAATAAATAAAAAGTCATGAAATAAGGTAAGGTAAACAGCCAAACCATTCACAATATTAAAACATCCACTGATGCCTAAATAAGCTGAAATTCTAATTATTTGAGAGTAGAAGTGACAGAAGCAATAGAAGTGATAAAATGATATTAAAGAGTGTCTTTCCACGAAAAAGCACATCATGGTAACAAGTTTCCTTTCACTGTTAATCTACATCTAAGAAGAAGTAATTCCCACTCTTTTTCTGCTCCATATCTTTCACAGAATCTTTCTTGTTGATACGTGGCCGATAATTATCTTTATCACGTCGAAATGTTATATCTAAAAGCCGCAAGAATCGGTTCATACCTTCCAAAAGCGATTGCGGTCTGCAAAAAAAATTCGGGATTTTTATTAGGAATAAGATTAAAAAAATCTGCGATTGAAAAATTAAAAAGAAAAGTCAAAAAATGGTTTAAAAAACTAACGACTGTGCAGTAGCTGATTTTGACGGTGTCCCTTCAAAAACTATCACACGATCAGCAAGATATGTTCCCATCAAGAAATCATGTTCAACAACGAATGCCGTTTTCTTCGCATGTAATATGAACCTGTTGATTAGCAAAATTAGAATAAGCACTAAACATACATTAGTAGGCTAATTAAGAGCGACAATCAAAGACCAAATTTAAACAAATTCAATTTAACGTAAATGTATCTGACATTCGTACGTTTTACTTTATTTAATTGTACTTATCCAAAATCATAGTCAAATTAAAAAAAAGGAAAAAAAATTTACGTGCGAAGCTTTCTTATATTGAAATATGAAATAAAACTTAGAAATTCTACCTACACAGTTCATGGAACGACAGTCCGCAGAGGCAGTGCAGTTGAATCATATTTGACCGTATTATTCTGCACAGCCCTTTCTCCGAAAGTTTCATGACATATAACTTTTTGCTTGATTTTCTTTTTTTTTTTGGTTTTCGTTTTTTTTTTCTCATGAATCATGGAAGTGATAGTAACAAGGGATCGTAACAAATACAGTGAAATAATAATAATCATGGTACTAGAAAAACACATTAAAAATTACCTTTTATAACTTTGGCAGCATGTAACCGCTGTTCTGAATCAAGATATGCACTTGGTTCATCGATCAGATAAACATCAGCCACTTTTCCAAGACATAAAGCTAATGCGACCCGTTGCAATTCACCGCCGGACAAATGTTGTACCTATGTATTTGTTTGAAATACTTTAATATTTGTATTTGTTTGAAATACTTAAACATTTGCTTGAAATACTTTAATGAAATTGGATTTTCAAACACATTTCACGAACCAACTAAACCCACACCATTTCCACTAGCAATAAAAATATAATTAAATTGAGAAAAAAGACATTTGGCCCAACTTCCACATTTTACTATACAAACGACTATACTAAAGCCTAGCTTGCATGTTATCTGGTGTGCGAACAAAACTTCCAGAATGTTGGGATACTATTGCACAAAATAGAGCGTTTAACCCATAAAACATATCATTCTTTATCGAGCAATTATTAATACCCAACAAAGGTTGTCAATTCAAAATTTAGCAAGAATAATGTGTAAAAAAGCTGTGTAAAGCTGTGTAAAAGCTGTGCAAAGTTCAAGAATAGGAAGGATTAATGGAAGAGACTTTACTTCAAGGTTGAGCAAATCATCAATCATTAACGGTGACAAGACATCCGTCTTAAATTGTGCATGGTTAACCATATCCGGTATTTTTTCATATAAAAGATGCCGCACAGAACATTGTGATTTTGGACTAATCTTTTGCGGTTTGTAAGATATATTCAGTCGTGGAATTTCCGTTAAATCATCATCAACCTGTAGATTACCAGCAAGAATCCTAAAATATTTTTTTTCAAATTACCTTTCACTCTTTTATTTTAAATTAAAAGTCCAAAATCTAAAAATAAAACTTTTAATGAATCTATTTTAAACATGAATAACTTATTAAACTAGGGCAGAGAATCTACTTTCCAAAAGAAATTTTTCCTCATGTTCATTGAAAATTTTTCAGTGTCTCGGAAAGCTTTTTTCCTCATCGCAGCACAATGAAAGTTATTACTCCAACAAACATTTGTGATGAGTGCACATGCTCATAAGACTTCAAGATCGCAAGTAACCGAGGTTACTTGAATTCTTTCCATTCAAAAATGTCCATCATCTTCAAAACACAACAGACCTAATCATTGTTGTTTTTCCAGTACCATTTTCTCCAAGCATGACAACGATTTCAGAATCGGTAAATTCGCCACCTTCAACTTTTAATTCAAAGTTCCCTATATGTTTAGTAAACGATGGATATGTATAACGAGCTGTCCGTTTAACCACTTCTTTCTCCGCTTGATCAGTAACTTTGAAGGATAATTCAGAATCTCTGCAATTTTCAAGTTGAAAAATGCAAATATATATGTATTCTAGATTTTCTTAATTTCAAATAAATCAAGACATGTTTCAAATAAATTAGACATTGTACCTGAACCGCATATTTTCAGTTGGAATGAAACCATCCAAGAATATATTAATGCCTTCCCTAACACCAGATGGCAATGTTACAACGCCATAGACTCCTGGCATACCATACAGACAGCATACATAATCAGAGAGATAATCCAGTACAGCCAAATCATGTTCTACGACAATAACATAACTGAAAAAAGAAAAACAATTTAGCCTTAAGAAATTTAGAAATCTGTCTGCATGTCCCATAAAGATCTAGCAGTTCAAAAGAGCATAAAACAATATTTTACAATACGTAACGACTAAAAGACAAAAGTAGATTTCCGACAAAACTCGAAATTGCATTTTTACACATGCTAAAGGAGGAACTCACTTATGGGGTGTTACTAAATCTCGAATAATTTTAGCTGCTTTCAAGCGCTGTTTTACATCCAAATAGCTGGATGGTTCATCGAACATGTAAACATCAGCATGCTGTACAACACACATCGCTATTGCAAAACGCTGAAGTTCTCCGCCAGATAACTGATCGAGCATTCGGTCCTTAACACCACTGAGCTCTGAAAAATATCGATATCGACTGCTGAAATCTTTTCAAAAAACACGGGAACAAGGAATCTTTTCACTTGGCATTGAAATTTTCGATATGTTACTGAACGGATTTAAGAAAAGTTTTCAAAAAATCGACTTTCTTTTCAAAAAAAAAAAACCTTTTTAAAAAAAGAATATACCTAACTCTTCGCAAATTTGCAACATGTTTTCTCGGTCGCACTTTTTTTTCAACAATTCCTGCACTTGTCCTTTCGCTGCCCTGCAAATTTAAAAGAACCTCACGAATAAAATAAACATCGGAAAGAATAACTTCCTTCGTCCTTCTTACAGAACTGAAAAATAATTTGGAAACCGTCCAATTATGATAAATCTTCATTTTCCATTCTTTATCATACTTTCACAATACCTTCATTGTAATGGTAGAGACAAAATAAATACCGAAAAGAATAACTTTTCTTTGTTTATTTTTTCCGATAATTATTTTTTGAAGTACTACCATTATTTTTTATTTCGTACCTAAAGTAGGAAATAAGGGTATTAAATGGAGGTATTAAACAAATCAACAAGCACTAAAGAAATGAAATCTGTGTACAACAAAGCCCGACGTTGCTTTCATTTTTTTTCATGTCCTTAAGAAAAACAACAGTTCTGATCAGATAAACCATAGTGCTGCAGTTGCTGGGTGGACCTAAGTAACAATGGTATTATTGTTAAGCAAAAAAGGTAGGAAAATCACATACTTCGGAATTTGATCAACATATTGTGGTTTTGCAACGGCTTTCAAATTGTCTTCTAATATTTTCGTGAAGTAATTTTGCAACTCTGAACCACGAAAATATGTCAAGATTGATGGCCAATCAGGAGGAGACTGCAACAACTCATAATTTCATTAATTAATATAAGATATTCATATGTGATGTAGGTATATGGTAAATTGTGCATAAATATTGTCTCTCAAAAAAACAAGAAATTTGAAATAAATACATTTGCAAAGGCATATTTTTGTTACTAACTTCAAATTTTCCAAGATTGGGTTTTAACTTCCCAGCCAGAATTTTAAGTGCTGTCGACTTCCCAATTCCATTTGTGCCAACAAGACCTAGCACCTAAAAAATTACATTTAGAACTTTTCTGCAGCCATTAAAATATCTTCGGGTAAAAATGGCAGAATACACCTATGGATTAATGATACACTATATTTTAACGACATACATATATATAAGTAACCTTGCAAATTATATTATATACTACAAATAACACATATAAGTAAGTTATGTCACATTTGTTGGGTATCTGAATGTTTCGATATTTCCAAATTTATTTCAATATCCCTTTAAGTACCCTAGTGCTAAGAATAGGTTAATGTCAATCGATTAACATCAAAATTTTGAAATTGCAGAAACTGTCAAAAAGATGTGAAAAAAGAAACTTCTCCAGTACGCGGCGTTGGCAATCGATGCAATTTGAAGGAATTTTTACTAAATCGATGAGTTGTATCTTTGGCCAAATTGCTAGGCAAATTTATAATTTTTATTGCTTCATAAGGACATTTCTGAAAAGAATAAATGAAAAAAATGCAGGAAAATAATTGCAAGGGAATTAACATTAGATACTGCACTCTAATGTAGAGATCACGATGGTTCGGAGTATTAGACAGCAGTACAAAATGCTTTCTGACACTTGAAATCAAAGAAAAAAAAGACAGCTATTCGTTGGACCGCTGATATACAGTGCAACCCATTTCTAAATACTAACAACGCAGCTAATGGCTTACAGAGTTTTTAAATTAATTCGAAAGCCCATATTTATTGCATATGATGCCATCGGTGTTGACTGGCCGAATAGTTTAATCATCTGTATACTGCACGTTAAAACCTTTTCAATGTAGAATGGTTAAGAAAAATGAAAAACAAGCTTAGGTATCAAAAATTGGTTCATTCTGAATTACTTTAGCCGTAACGCATTCGGTAAATTTCTGATATATTATGGGCCAGTGCGCACCCATTATTAAATTTTACAGTGTGGACCATTATTAATTTTATTAGTTACGAGAAAGGTTGTCAACTAATCACTGTTTTCATGCAAGAAAACCTTAATAAAACATAACTGCGCTACAAAGAAATTGTTTTGAACAGTAAGAGAGATCTGATCATCAAAAATTTAGGATTTAGGGTCATTTAGGATGAGTAACGCACATGAATTTCGGAAGAACAGGAATTTTTTACTAAATAATTTACAAAGACCATCTAAAGGAATATACCTTCACACAGATACCGCAGCCAATGCATAAAGTTTCGGATATCTCCGCCATTTTAGAATTGCTTTCCACGACAATGCACTGCTTCCCTAAATTTAAAAACTGAATGGCAAATAAAAACCATCATACAGTCTTTTTATAATGCATTTATTATGATCGGAACAATTCATGAAGTTAGAGTCAATCCCTTGAATTCATTAACGACCGAAACTTGAATATCCGACTGTTGAAGAAGTTGACGTTTACTGGAGGTTCCCATAATACGATAATTAACTTATTTAATAACTAGGAAGCTACCAGACAGTATGAAAACCTAACTACGAACGGATACTTTTTTCAAATTCTCTTCGCAAGAAAAATAAAACTACCCATTCGCACAACAGGACATGATTTCTTGCATGCAAGACCACAATTTTTTGGCTTACAACGATCCTTTTCAACGATAGCAATACGCGTCATTTTATCCGTCTCCTCCTGCTGCTTCCGTAAACGATTCATTTCGCCTTAATTCGTTGTCCAGGAAGCAATCTGAACTCTCGGAAATGAACTTATGCCCCAATACTTTTTCATTGGTTACAAACAGCGAAAATAAAGCTGCCCCCCATGAGTTTTCGATCCACTATTCTTAACTATATTATTCACAACCTATATACAAATAAACCGACAAATCAACAAAAAATTTTAATATGCACTACGAAAACCATCCATATTCGCCAGATATCAGATTGGTTACAAATTCCAGCTCAGCCGTTTAAAAATAATTTCAAGGCGATTTGTGATCTAAATTGTTTCATCCTTCCTATCACTATCAAAAGAGATGCTGTTGAAGCTTGTAAAGTTACCGCAAGTATAATAGATGCTATTCCTGCATAAACTTCGATTCTTAAACTCGTAACCTACCACACTTATCAGATTTCCCAGTTTTCGATTAGGTATATATGCAGTAATGGCATCATACCATCAACAGAAAATAATCATCTCGAAAATTTATGACATCAGGATAGAGAAAAAATAAACACATTGATCAGAAACGATTTTAATTATTGAACTGAAATTATTAAAATGACATCTACAACACACTAACAGTATAAATCCAAACTTTTATCATGCCATAAGTTCAACAATCATAAAACTAACTTTAATTACAATCGTGAAAATCGATTGGATGCTAGAAATTTTTTTTTCCAAGTTTACAAAACAAAACAAACAAATAGCGTGAGCACATAAAGGTGCAAAAAATCTAACAGCTGTAACACTACAAAGAAAATCTGGCTATACATAATCATTATGAAGAAAATTTAAAAAGAGAAAGAATTAAAAATATTTAAAACAAGGCGAAAAACATCTAAAGACGAAGTGAAGAACCCTTCATCCATCCTCCTTCCATCATTCCCTCCGAAGCATGTAAGAGAAAAACAAATACTGAGTAAGAGGAAAAATAAATCCCATCGAAACATGTAGGAGGGAAAGACATGAAAGCACTAGTATCCATTATTTCCTAAAAGTAAACAGGAAAAAAACAATATTATTAAAAGCAATGAATTTCAGAGAAGAAAAAATTATTCTGCAGCGCCATAGGAGATATGACTCCTTTTTTTCATCGAAAAGGCAACACAAAATTTCTTATAGTATTCATCGGCCAACTCCAGCATCACTTCCACAAATGGATCTCTGGAACGACCAATGACGATCAATGCTTCACTGATTTTAAGAAGAGTACTCTGAAAAAAACTTTTTGAACTAGAATTTTTATAATTATATATAAATCTGAAAATTAGAGGAGGCATTAAAATTATAACCTTAATTCTAATAGTAAGTTATGAACTTTTGTATTCCATGCATTCGCTTTATGCCACATTGAGCAGAAAACGCAAATTGACATTTATATGAACTATCCTACTAAGCATACGGTTTCTCCATTATAGAAACATTGTATGTACTGAACTTCAAGCAGTAATAACTAGAATTTTGTTGCATATAATTCTTATAAGAACGAAAAATCATTCAAAACAACATACTGAAAAACTGTGAATTAAACTCCAAACTCTATTTTCACTGATTCCATTATCTCGTTCCAGTGCTTTTTTTGACTCTAGACGCCAAAAATCAACTGCATAGGCGTTCAAGTATACCTGAAATCTCTTATATTTGTAAACTTTTGCATACTAAAGTTGATTTCCAAGTCGAGTTTACCGTAGAGATACAGTGAAAAGGGAAAAAGATTCAATGAGGAATAGCTTTTAAAATCCAGTTTAAGTTAAACTGAATTTCAAGTTAAACTCAAATAAGCCACTCTTTCTCGCATTTTGTTGGGAGAGTCCCTTACTTTTCGACCACGATGATCAACTGGAGTTGGTGAACGAGCTGGCATAAATGCTTCATCAAAAAGCAAATAGTCATGGAATGGATGAACAATATTCGATGAGAACATTGAAACTGATGAATCAGCGAAACCTGTTAGAGAGAATACTTCACCCTAAAACGATTCAATTCATAAAAATTAAGCAAAAAAATTGCAAGAAGGAATGGAATTTTTTCGAAAAACGGAAAGAATAAAATGTGTTACCTTGGAGAAAATTCAGTGAATCGAAAATTAGTCTCACTGCAGAGAAGTTAAAAGTCAACTAAGATAAAAATGGGAACAGTGCAAAAACTATCACGAATACTATGTCAAGAAAAGTCCGTGCAACTGTTTTTGATTTAGGGGATTTTATTTTGGTTAGCAGTAATAATGTGTCTGATTAAGTCTTACACAGATACAACAACTTGCCTATGCCTAATACACATAGCAGAACATAGTAAAATGTTCTATGGTTCCAACCTAAAAAAAGAAGAAAAACTACGGCTCTAAAAAAAAGTAAAACTATGGCTCACTTACTTCACTGTTCAGCAAAAGGTCAAAATCCCTTAAACTCCAAATTCAAATGCACAGCAGCTTAATTGAGCCAATATAGGAAACATATGAAGCTGATTTTTATGTCAAAATACGACGGTTTCATGAATTGTTGCTTTTAAAGCAACTAGACACCTCGAAACATCAATATGCAATACAATTTCGCCAATCTATATAGCTTACAACTGACATATAACAAGACTTATCATGGTTTCCAAGGATTAAACGATTACCTGAAGTTTCTTGTTAGGATTAGTCAATCGCATAAATTCTCGATATAAATTTTCCACCTTGTTGGCATACTGTTCAATTAAGCAAGCGCAACTGTCAGGCAAGGGTCTCAAGAAAATCTGCAAAAATTTCAAACAAATCCCTTTTTAAATAAACTGTGGAATTAGTAACCTCAGGTATTTAATTTCAGTCGCAATGTTTTTCGAATGCTTATTGTATTCATTGAGAATTACCAAATAATTAATATATGTAAGTGAATTACCTCTCATAAACTTTCTTATATGTCGAAAATTCAAATTCCTTAAAAAGTCCATCAAATGATTGTTTCTTCTCTCTACATCTAGAGTATACATTAAGAAATCATATAAATTACGAACGAACCTCTGATTCACCTGTTGACGGATAGGAATTCTTGTCATTCGGGTTCCAACTAAGTGGCAAACGCAAATTAGTAAACAGATGTGCAAAAATAAGCACCAACTGACTTTTCATTTCCTCTCGCGATATTGTCCAACCTTCGCATAACTTGTGGAATACGCCATTTTGGAGAAGATGTACAAAAAGAAGATTACCTGGTTCATTGGCTGATAAATGACACACTAGAGCAGCTAAACCGCTCAATTCACCCTGAATGAACATCTGCATGTTAAAACATTGTGTTTGAAAAAAAGCGGTAACTTCGGTTGTGAGATTAGACCGCAAACTTAAAGCCACTTCAAATTTTTACTTCGGATAACTCCAAAAATGCACAAATATTGTCTTATCGCCTCATTACTCAATTTAACGCCATCATGATGATACTATGCATAGGATTTCAAGGATGATGGAATGGAAAACAAGTACAAAGAAAAGAAAAAATAAGAAACCTTCTCATTCAACAAATTTAGGGAACGTAACACTTGAACAGCAAAAAGTGTGTACAGCTTAAGCTGCTTCTGCACTGTTGACGACAATTCGGCACGCGTATGAAGGATAAAAGAATTTGTCAAGAATGACAAAGCGGTCTAGAAAAAAACAATTGCTAAACGCATGGAGTAGCATAAATTTCAAATAAGACAAGCAATACTATACTGCTCCTGATTTCACATTTATATTTTTATTCTTTAGCTGTTTTCGAAATGGAAATGAAGGAATTTCTCTGGGTCCTGCGCTTAATACCTCAAACTCTATATCATTCTTCAATCTATAGGACTGTTAAAACATTAAATATGCTTTGATTATTGCAAGGGTAAATGACAACGAAGTTGATAAGCTTACTCGTAATCTTTGCTCAGAAGGTGAGATTTTTTGAGTTCCAGAACGTAGTTCACCTGAAAATAGATGGAAGAAGTTCACACATAATCTAACGACATAATGGATAAGACCTAAAATTCCTTCCAAGTTCGCGGTTTGCAAGATAAACTTTTCGATGAAATAAAGTGTCTTGTAAGAGATTACAGATGTGTCACTGGATATTAAACATATCTGTTGAGCTGTTAACATGCAGTTAGCATCATAAATTCAAAAAAAAAAACTATTTTGCACGGCATGATTTATATTGCACATTTCGACTACTTCAGATACCGAAGTAAGCTGAAGCTGCTATAAGCAAACATTAAATATTTGAATGGATAGCACTGAAATATTTAAAGTTACCATGTAGCCGTCAAACTTACTCATCATGCTGTCTTGTTGATGTATGTAACCAAAAAGTCGTAGAATATACGACGTAGTAAACGGCAAATTCCCACGTAAAGTCGACAAACTCGCTGTTAATAACCGGCGTATCTGAAATACATCTTTATACTAATTCATTCAATGAAATAAAAATTGTAGGAATTATTTTGATATAAATTAGTATATATTACATATATTTTTCATTTATTCGTTCATTTTCATTAAACATAAAACAAACCTTGGCAGTTGGTATTGACATGAAAATGACTGAGCCTGAATGATCAAAACCACGACGGCCTGCTCGACCAGACATTTGTCGAAACTGTAAAGGTGTTAGATTTGCATCGTCAACTCCAAAAAGAACCGTCTTACACGGCATGTTGATACCGAGTGCCAGCGTTGAAGTCGAAAATAAGATTGCCAAATAACCAGATCTACAACAAGTGTAATGAAAATTTTAACTTTCCAATTTTAACTTTTCAAATTTTGATTTCTCTGCAGTTCGAATGGAATAAATTCACTTATAAAGAAGAAATTGAAATCCATGATAGAGTAACCACTAACTTTCAAATCGAAAAGAATGTAAGCCCTTAAACTATTCACTTTATCAATCTACTGATTAGGTTATCAAAATAACCTGAATAAGATTTCGACAGCACCGCGTTCTTTAGAATTCAAACCAGGATGATGGAAGCCAATGCCGCGTTCAAAAAGCTTAAATAATAATTTTGTAGTTTCCCGTCCTAGTCGATCCTTTGCCAATCTTGCAGTCACTTTCTGATACAAATCTGCATCACGCTGCCGCCCATGTAATTTGAACCTGAATGACCCGAAGAGCAAAATAAGTTCTAAAATTTTAAAGTGATGCTGGTACTCAATATTAGTACTATCAAAAA